CTCAGGCAGCAGCTATGTTTTTGGTCCCCAGCCTCTTAACTACATGGTCCCTTGGCTTCTGCCTTGGGAAATTCACCTGCTGCTCTGCCTCACAGTCTCTGGTCTCAGTGCTGCAGCTCCTCTGCTCTGGGGCCTCTGCTACTCAGGTAGGGGTGACCTTGGACATGCTCCCATAGTTCCAGGAATTCTCTCCCTCTGCTGACAAGGCTGCCTACACACAGTGGAGTGACAAAACTGACCAGTCTTTCTCTGTATTTCGTAACCCTGTGTACATGGTCCCACCCAGTCCTTTGGTGGGAATTACAGACACAAAGGATAAATGGATACATTTAACCTGAAAAGCAAATACAGTGGCAAGCAGAGTAGTAACTGTGACAACCACTGTACTGTGTAGGTGGAGTTACATTTACAGTGTTTGCTCAGTTTGAGAAAAAGTAAAATTATTTTCTATTTTATAGCACTAATAATAATTTTTAAAATCTAATATTTATAAAGCCCTTAATTTACACTGCACACTAAGAAACAAATGTGTTTGTTGGGGGACGGAGTTGCCAAGCTCTTGTGCCTTGAAGGAAGGGGAAACTCTCAGGAGGAACACCCACCCACCCCTACCCTCATCCTAATTTGGACCAGAAATGGACTCTTGGCCCTGGACAGCACATGCATAGTTAGCCAGTGACTAATTAGCTCTTTCCCCTAGAAATTGAGTTGACAGAGTTAGTATTTAAATAATCACTTGACGTAGTCACTATGTAGCTGGTCTTATGAATGGTCAAGAAACAGAAAAAGGTTCTGCTAAGAGAAGCATGCGCAGGGATTAGACATAGTGGATTGGTGGTGGTGGTGGGGTGGGGGGCGGTTAGGAAATGAACACTCAGGTGGCCTATGTCCCAGCTGGCTTTCTGTGTGCAGCTCCAGTCCCATGAGTTTTGCTTGTTTCCTTGAAGTGTTCCTGCTTCCTTTCCACAAATCTATTTTATCTGAGCTCATGTGGCTGGGTCTGTGTTCTTTGCAACCTGCCTGGAATTTAATTCAGTCTTATATTAGGGACCTTAAATAAAATAAGGTGGAAGAGTTCATGGTAAGTGTGTCCAGGTTGTCTGAGTTAGGCCTGATCTTCTGTACAACCTGGTACTGCTGCAGAGTTTATTCCATTTCCACAGCCTTGCATTTCTTGTTTTCTAGATGTTTACTTTCCTTAATTTTACCTATGAACTTTTCTAATCCTTTGCAATTTTTTTTGTTATTTCAGTTTCTTTGAGGTTGACCAATTATATCTGTTAATCTTTCACTTCTTATTCTGAAAACTTTTTTCCTATATATTCACACGATTGAGTATGTCTAAGGGAAGAACATCTGGGCTTGGGGCCTCTAACTTCCCTGTTGCCATGTGGCAGAGATTAGACACGCCTACCCCCTTTGTCCTGCTTTACCTACTCTGACACCAACCTTTCCTCCCAGGGTACTCTTCTACCATGCTGGGGTTGAGAATTCATTGCAGTGGCCACAAAGAATCAATATTCTTGATTAAAGACCCTATAAGACAAACTGGAATTATAATTTTAGATTTTCGAGGCTGTAAATCTTCATGGGAGCAGATAGCCTCATCTTTTCCCACGCAGAGACATTAGTGGTTTCAAACTGTTGCATTGGCCAGTTAGCAACCCAATGCCTAACCAACCTACCACACCACCAAGGCTCCTTGAGTGAATGTGGGCATTGTTAATAATGTGTACGATTCCAGTAAGACATTTTAATCATTGATATATGTTAGAGACACTTTTCCAATTGTGGACTTTCTCCTTGTTATTGTTAGTGATGGGATTTTATGTTCATTGATTGTTTTTTTACTGTTCAGTTTTTTTGCTTCCAATAGCAATGGGTATTCCACTGCTTGTTCATCCATTCCTCTGGATATACATACTTTGAGTTGTTTCCAATGCAGTTGCTGTGAACATTTGTCTACCAATTTGCATCTTTCTTAGGTAAATTGGTCTATTTCACTTCTAGAACATTCCAGTTGCTTTATATCAGGCATCCTCAAACTACAGCCCACCGAGGACATTTATCCAGCCCACTGGGTGTTTTTGCCCTGTTTTGTTTTTTTACTTCAAAATAAGATGTGCAGTGTGCATAGGAATTTGTTCATAGTTTTTTTTTAAACTGTAGTCTGACCCTTCATAGGGTCTGAGGGACAGTGAACTGGCCCCGTTTAAAAAGTTTGAGGATCCCTGCTTTACATCCTCACCAACCTGTTGTTGGATAGACTTTTTATTAACAGAGTGGTGGACAGCTATTCTAGTGGTATCTCTGTAGAGAAGTCTCATTGTTGATTTACTTTGCACTTTCCAAAAGGCTTTGGGGCATCTTTATGCCATTTGTATATACCTTTTTTGGTGAAGTGTGTATTCACTTATTTTGTCCCCCTTTAAAATAAATTGTTCTATCTTTACAGAGGGGCTTCTAAAAGTTTGTGGGAAAATTCCATTATCTTTCAGTTACCCTTTTCTACAAGTTTTTTGAAGTCCTCTCATATACCAGGGGTTACTAAAAAAACAACACCCCAAACAAATAAAAAGACGGATTTTCCCCCCCAAAGCTATGCATCTACTTTTTAAAAAAATAATTACAAAACAACCTTATCTTCGAAGTACTCTCCATTACACTTAATACATTTGTCAAATCTGAGATTCTATTCTTGGAGACATTTTTCAAACTCATCTGTTTGGAGGGCTGACTACCTCGCTCATTTTTTTCTTCACCTAAGTTGTCCAATCGCTGAACACGAAGTCACACTGAGTGAGGTCAGGTGAGTAAGGTGTGTGGGGCAAGGAAGCATGCTGTTTTTTTTTTTTGCCAAAAACTGGTATACTGAGATGGCTGCGTGAGCAGGTGCATTGTAGCGGTGGCAAAACTAGTCTCCTGTCTGCCACAGATGTGGTCTTTTTTGTCATACACTGTTAGCCTATCTTTTCATGACCTCTAAACAGAAAGCATGATTAATAGCCTCACTTGGTATAATGAACTCCAAATGCACTATCCCCCTCACATAAAAAAACAAACAAATGAGTATCCTTTTGATCAGTGATTTCATTTGATCAGCTTTTTTGAGCGAGATGACAGTGGCCTTTTCCATTGGCTTGATGTTTGGTTTCAGGGTTGTGAAAATAGCACCATGTCTTGTTACTCATAATGATGGCCTTGGGGGAAAAAAGTCTGGGCCTCTTTGGAGCTGTTCTTTCAAAGCATGACATGTTTCTGCCCCATGCTGCTTTTGCTGGTCAGTCAGAATTTGAGGCACAAATTTCGCAGTACTCTCTAGTTTCCAATCTTCCATTAAAATTCACTGAACTGAGCTCCAAGATAGGCCAGATAAGTTCCCCATCTCGTCAATGATATGTCGTCAATCTTCATGCACAAGTGCCTGAATTTTGTCTACATTTTCTTCAAGGAAGTTCAGGGGCATCCAGAAAAAATGTTTGTCATCAATTGATATTTCCCCTTTTTTAAAACTAGAAAACCAGCTCATACACTTGAGTTTTTCCCATAGTGCTATATTTATAAGCTGTGTTGTACATCATAACAGTTTCTGCGACATTTTCCCTAGCAGGAAACAAAATTTCACAGCCACACACTGTTCTTTTAAATTGGCTATCAAAATAAGTGAGGTTCAAGCGAAAGTGCTTTCATGAAAAAATTCACTGTGACCAAAGAGAACCTTCTCAGGCTATGCCAGTGGGTACACCCCTAGCGGGAAAAATTCGTACTCTGAAAGCTCTGCCCAATGAAGCCCCCCCCCCCCTTTTTTTTTTAAGTACCCCATCATATATCTTCATGTACACACAGGAGCTCTGGTGGATTGTACATTGGGCTCATAACCATAAGGTCTATAGTTTGAAACCATGGGCTGCTCCAAAGAGTTAAAATCTTAGAAATTCACAGGGACAGTTTTACCCTGAGCTATAGAGTCATTATGAGTCAGAATTGACTCCGCGGCAGTGAAGTGTTTTTGAACACATACACACACCAACAGTAACAAAACTAGTTGCTGTTGAGTCGATTCTGACTTGTGATGTCCCTGTATATGTCCGTTGAACTGTTCGAGGGTTTCAGTGTCCCGGTTTCTGGAAGTAATCACCATGTCTTTCTGCTGATGCATCTCTGGGCAGACTTGAGCCCCAGCCGTTTGTTTTGCAGCCGAGTAAGCAAACCATACACCATCACTGAGGGATTTCTTTGTCATATATGTGTTTTGGGTAAGTCTGTTTTCCTAATTGGTGGCTTTTTGAAGAGTAAAAAATTGGTAATTCTGTTGTAGTCAGCCATACTTTTTCTTTATAGGCCTTTTTGTATTTTGTGCTTCTTGTGTCCTGTTTGAGTTCTGCATCATTTCATTTTGTTTCTCTTCTGATTCTTTAAAAATGTTAAATACCTCAATTTCTCATTTTTGTAACTATGGGGCAAAAAGAAGGCAACTTTACAACAGAAGCTGTTCTTTGCCTAGCATTTGTGCTTGTTGTTGCCCTTTCATAGAGCGAAGATTGTTTATGATTCTGGTACTTTGTGTTTGTCCTTGGTTTTTAAACTAGTAAAGAACCATGAACTTGAATCTAATTTGTTCTTCTGTATTATTGAAAGGGAGCTATGGTTCCAAAAAATGACACTTTATTCACTGCGGATGGTTTGTTTACAGTTATGTCAAGACCACAGAAATCTAGGTCCTTCCAAATTCTGTCTCATTGCTGCTTTCCTTCCCTATGAGGTGCTGTTCTTTGTGCTGCTGCTGTGAAGATATTTCTGTCTGCTACAACATAGTACAATAAGCTTAGTTCTTCTCTTTCTCCAGTTCTTACTGTAATTTATATATATATATATCCTTGTTTAAAGCAGTAGTATTAAAAGTTATATAGATCATCTTTTTGAAAGCATAATTTCCCCTTAAATTTCAATGAAAATGTTTTGAATTTAACAGATTTTTTTTTTTTTAATTCTTTCCTAAGGTCTGTAAACAGATTTGGCTAGGATTATTTGATGATAGATCTTCAGCAATTCCAGACTTCAGGGATCCACAAAAAGTGAAAGAGTTTCTGCAAGAAAAGTATGAAAAGAAAAGATGGTGAGTGAATAGTTTATATTTAGAATAAAGCCTCCCCACATCACATTAACTGTGAGTTAGTTTAAAATGACGCATGGTTGGACAGGTGGAAGGAAGGAAGGATGGCACTGATAGATGCCTATTATTTTATTTTTATTTAGTTGAGCTTCCAGAACCTCTTTCTTCCACTTTATGTGAACACGTCTACGAGGGACTTCAAAACTGTATGTGGAAAATTCCAATATCTTTTAATTCTGTTTGAGCACAAACTTTTGAAGCCTCCTCGTATGCCTAGAAGCAGTCTTTTCATTATAATAATTAGCAGGACACGTACCCTTTTTGACAAGTTAATTCAAAAACCAAACTCAGTGCCATCAATTTGAATCTAACTCATAGTGGCCTTATAGACAGAGTAGAACTGCCCCTGTGGATTTCTGAGACTAACTCTTTACAGGAATATAAAACCTCACTTTCTCCTTGGAGCACCTGGGGGTTTTGAACTGTTGACTTAGTGGTTAGCAGCAAAATGCGCTACTACTTTGCCATTTGTTCATTTGGCAAGTATTTATTAAGTAGGTTCTATATATCAGCCATTGATGCAGTGATGGAGCACTGATAGCTCAGTAATTTAAGCACTAGGTTGCCAAGCCTGGGGGTCAGTGAAAAGGGGAGGCTGTCTGCTCCCATAGAGATTTACAGTTGCAGAAATTCAACTGATAGGTAGTTATACTCTACCTTATAGGGTTGTTGAGTTGAACTGAGTGTGTTTGGTTTTGAGCATGGCGTAGTGAGTTAGCCACTCCCATGCACCTTGCAGTTTTTACGCAAGAGTGATCAGTTCACTGTAGTGAAAAGATTGGGGCTTAGACCTGCTAGGCCTCTGAAAGCAGGTCAGGAACTCCACAGGAGAGTGTTCAACCTCTCAGGGCACTTCATGCCAGCTCTGGGAACTGGAACTGCACTGCACATCTCTAATGGGAATGATTGAGCAGCCATTGATTCCTTCTTGTACTTAAAGACAAGGAGGAAGTCACAAAGAGAGAGTATGAGTGGCCAGATTGTCATCCAGAGAATGTTATATTCAGGACCCTGTGCTTGTTCTGAGAGAACACTTGCTTTGGTTCATTTGTGAGAGATTTAGTCAATGAAACAGTAACTCCAATTTGTATACTTTGCTGAATTTTGTATTCTTATTATCCCCTAGGTAGGACTACTTTTTCCAAAGTAGCATTAAACCCAAAGCAAATAACTCTGTCCAGTAGATTTTGACATAGGCAATCCCCCAGAAAGCTTTCAGTAGCCAGATAACCATACTTTGTTCTGACATGTCTGGATTGATTGAGTCAACCGCAGCCAAGTGAGCTGACCCTTTGCGCACTTGCTGTTGTTAGGTGCCATGGAGTGTGTTCCACCTCCTGCTGGGACAGTGCAGCGTGAACTGCCCCCACAGAGCTTTCAAATCTGTGACCTTCAGCAAGTCTTCTCAACCTTTGGGTGGGTTTACACCACCAGCCTTTGGTCCTGTACTAATGACCCCGCTTAGTGACCAAGCAAGGTTAGGTATGTTCTGACTAACGACCCCGCTTAGTGACCAAGCAAGGTTAGGTGTGTTCTGACAAGTAAGTAACATTAGGTATGAAGATGGATGAAAGCACCGGGGTGGCATTTTCGCTCGGGAAAGAAGGCAGAATTGGCATGTGTAGTGGTAGCAAGAATATGATGGTGTAAGTGATTCTATTCAAATGAAGAGTAGAGTTATTCTTTTATCACTATAGTTCTCAATTTCCTAGAACACTTAGCTTGTAATTATGACCTTTCTTGTATAGCCTTAAGGTACTCTGGTTTTTCAGCAGTCTTATATTTACCAACTCAAGTCATTTCAGTAAAAAGACTTATCTGGGGTTTTTGATAATTTAGCATTTGCTAGAAAGGGCAGAGTGTGAATATGAGTTGATAGAGCTAAAACTCTTAGCTCCCCATCCACCTAACATTGTGATATTCTCACTGCTGTGGGGTCAGGTCTTACTTTGAGGAACCCTGTAGGACCAGTAGAACTGACCCAGGGCTTCCAAAGCTGTGAGTACTGCCACACTTGGCTGCTGCTGTTTCTCCCACACAGGAGCTGGTGGGTCCAGACAGCTGACTTTCAGCAGCTGAGCGCTTAGCAATTTTACATAGTGCAGTTCAACCAGAACCCAAATAACTGAAAACCTCTGCTAATGACAACTTATGGGGTCTCTTGGTAGAGTGGGAGGGTTGTTTGTTTTGCTTGTCTGGTTTCCTTCACCCAGATAAGGAGCCTTGGTGGTGTAGTGGTTACTTGTTGGTCAGAATTGTATCCCTACTGTCCCTCTCCCTCCCTGCACTTCATTCATCCCACAAACCACATGTTTCCATGATTGGGATCTTCTGAATCGTTCTGTGTTCAGATTTAGATGAGCTATGTTGTGCTTTCCTATACCATCCATCCCTTTTAAGTAGTTCTCTCCGGACTGACGTTTGGTTCATTACCCCATATGTTTGAATTTCTAAATGAGTGCTATAATAGAGATCAGTGTTTGTGTGTGTGTCAGGAAATGGTGTTCGCCGGAGAAGCACATTGTGGTCGGTAGGGAGTTAGTAAGAACTAGAGAAACCTCTAAGGAGGTGATTGACAACTAGTAGTGGTTTGTAGCTTCACCGTGCCCACGAAAATGAAGGTGAGACGGAGCCGGCCAGGGCTTCCTGTTAAGCTGAAGGTAGCCGTGAACTGGAGCCAGGCCAGTGGCAGCTAACAGTGACCGTAACAGCGATCCTTCAGGATAAGTTCTAGACGTGACCTTTGGCATTGTTAGGCAGAACAGAGTGATTTATATAATTCAGTAGATTGTTGTGAGCAGTATGTACAAGAGTTTTATGACAAATGGAATAAATAAAAAAAAAGCTTTGCACGAGCTCTGAAGCCTATAAGCACACACATCTTGAGCTGTTCTGTGCTGTCGTGTGGATCCCGGCTCAGAGCTACCTCATGCATAGCAGAACATGGTCACAGTTGTTAGGTTTGAGCTCATTCTTGTAGCATCCGTGTTCATTGTTTAGTCTGTACTCGGATCAAGAGTGAATATTTTATTTTTAGTGTTCCATTTTCTTAGGTTACAAGTGTTTTTCTTGTTTGATTAGCCATGTGTACGTCTCTTGTAAATACTACTCCATTTTAAAATTGGGTTGTTGATGGTATATTTATAATAGGTTATTAACGGTAGTGGACGAAGTGCATTCTCTACATTCTCATCTATCTTCACATGTAATTTGTGATCATCAGATATTTCGGTTTTAAAAATGAAGTACAATGATAACTATTCATCATGATGACTGAACTGTATGCCCCCAGTCATTAAAACATTCATTTCCAATCCTGTGTTTTCACTTAAGAAAAATTGTATGTAAATAATTGAAACAAGTTTTTGGCTAGCCATTATTACTCTTAATCTTTGAATGCTTCAAGTAAGCTATTGTCGTAGGCCCTCATAATTCTAAGCAAGAGAATTTTCTAATAAGATTAATACCAAAACAGTCTTGTACAAAGTTAGATCAAGCTTGTCGTCTGTGAGTTTGGGATTCCTTATCATTTGATGTTTGCATGTTTTAGGTATGTTCCGCCAGAACAAGCCAAAGTGGTGGCATCCGTTCATGCGTCTATTTCAGGGTCCTCTGCCAGTAGCACAAGCAGCACGCCTGAGGTCAAACCACTGAAATCTCTGCTCGGAGACTCAGCAGCAGCACTGCACTTCACCAAGGGCACTCCAAGCCAGGTGAGTGTCCCAGGCCATTTGGAGGGCCTTCTACCAGGAGACATGGGCTCTCCCGGTACAGGAATGCCTGAAAACAGTACCATAATCAATTGCATGTGTCCTAATGGTTTATAGTACATGAAAAGAGTGCTGGTTAAGTGGTTAGAACATGTATCCTCTTTGTTCTTTGAGCTACTTAAGAGTGTCAGAGTCTCCCACAGCTCCATAAAGACTTAGGGGAATGCTGCTGTCGCTGCCTGTTTCACAGCAGACATTCAGTAAATAGGAATCTGGTGGCCGCCAGAGTCAGAGCAGCATAGCCTCTGTGATGTAGCGTCACCAGGAAAGCCATGGATTTTTCCTCGAGCTGACCCTGGAGCAGGTGGTGTACCCTTGAGGCACAGGTGATGTTTCCAGGGAACACGGAGTAGATGGAAGGTGGTTACTGAGCTGCACCAAGTCTCTCTCTGAGTTGCATTGCATCTCTCTGCACAAGAGATTCTAAATTGTGGTAGTGTTTGGATGAAGTCCGGCCTTTTAAGCAGCACTTATAGAGCATCTCTACAAGTCACCGTTTTCACAAAAGACTCAAACGGCAGAAAGAGATTTACGTACGAGAAGACACATCCCGCGGGAGTCTGATTGTAGTCATCGTGGCTGTAGTTATCTGGTGGTATGAGTTTACACAGCCATTAGAATTGCATTTGTTTGCTTTGAACAGTGTAATTTAAACTGAGAGATGTAAGGTCTTGCCACGAGACAGCAGAGTGCTCAAATCTGTAAAGATAGATGGTGTCATCTTTAAAATGCGCGTTTAGATAGGGAATTGGAAATAGTTTCATGTCTAACGTTGGTGGACAGACTGGAAACTCCTTATAGCTGATGTGTGGTTTACAGTCCCCTGTGGTAGGTCGCTCTCAGGGCCAGCAGCCGGAGAAGAAGCAGTTTGACCTTTTGAGTGATCTTGGCTCAGACATCTTCGCTGCCCCAACTCCTCAGTCGACAGCGACGGCCAATTTTGCTAACTTTGCACATTTCAACAGTCATGCAGGTAAGTGGGGTTTTATTTGTTTATTTTATCAGCTTTTACCAGAGTAGCATCAAAAACTTTAATACCTCATATTGTGTGTTCTTGTTAAGTGTTTAGAAATCTTCGTGTTTGATTACATTTCAGTATCAGTAAACATAGTCTGTTGAGAACATTTGTTGACCCATATTCGCAGAAAGAATTATAATCTCCTCGGAACCCCACAGGGGCAGGGGCAGTTTTGCTCTGCTCTACAGGGTCACTGTGAGTGTGCATTGACTGGAGACCCGTGAATTTGGTGTTTTGGGAACTACCGATGTCTAGTATGGAGTCACGTATTCTCACTTGCTAATCTTAGCTAATGACAGGACCTCCTTCCAGGGAGAGAAATGGAGACTTTACATGAAATAGACATATTTTCCCCTTGCATTATGAAAAATTGAGTTTCAAAAGTGATTGGACTAGAACCTTCCTGGGCGCTCACTCATGATTAGTTTTGTGTGTCCTTAAGTATACCCAATAGCTCTTCGGCTGTTGGGTATAATTCATTTTGGATGAATTTCAGACATTAGTTCTTCCCTGTTTTATTTTTATCTGTCAAACTGAAGGACTTCCTTTTTTAACCACAACTACAACAACGTTATCGTTCCCTATTCATATTTCATTAATCCACTTATCTCAAATAATACATATATATCATTGTTCTCAGATGCCAGCAAGTTGGTTCTGACATATAGACTTACCTCGTGTCCAACAGAATGAAAAGCTACCTGGTCCTCTTCCAGCCCACCTCATTGAGGGTCTTCCTCTTCCACCGACCCTCTATTTTACTAAGCACAGTGTCCTATTCCAGGGACAAGCCCCTCATGATAACATGTCTAAAGTATGGGAGATGAAGCCTCTCATTATCCTTACTTCTTCATGAGAATTCTGGCTGTACTTTTTGAGTGATTTGTTTTTCTGGCAGTCCAAGGTGTAGTTAGTATTCTTTGCCGGTACCATTATCCACAGGCATCAGCTCTTCCCTGATTTTCTGTGTTCATTATCCAGCTGTTGCATGAAATTGAAAGTACAGTAGATTGGGTCAGGTGCATCTTAGTTCTAAAAAGGTCACTTTGGCTTTTTAGCACTTTCAATCTTTACAGGAGATTTGCCTAATGCAACACATGGTTTGATAGCACTCACACACCCCTTTTCTACAGTGGACATTGATTGTGGATCCGAATAAAACGAAATTCTTGACAACTTAAATCTTGTATCCACTAATCACGTTATTTATTGATTTAGTTGTGAGGATTTTTATTTTTCTAGGTGTTGAACTGTAATCCATACTGCAGACTGAAGGCTTTGATCATATCAATAAGTACTTTGAGTCTTCTTCTCTTTCAGTAACCAAGGTTGTGTTAGCTGCATATTACAGGCTGTTGCTAGCCACCCTCCAGTCCTGATGCTCTGTTCTTCACACAGTGCAGTTTCTCTGGTTATTTGCTCTACACAGAAACGGTTAGGATATGGTAAACATACGCAACCATGACACAGACTTTTCCTGATTCTAAACCACAGATAATCCCTTGGTGTGATCCAGAGACTGTCTCTAGATCTATATACAGGTTCTGCATGAGTACAATTAAGTTTTCTGGAATTCTCATTCTTCTCAGTATCCATAATTCACTATGCTCTATGTGGCTGAATGACTACATAATCATTCAGACACTGGTATTCCCTGCATTCTACCAAGATCCATCTGATATCAGCAACAATGTCCCTCATACCACATCATTTCTGGAAGTTCTTTGTTGATAAACTCATGCAACCATTTTCTAATTACCTTCCACAGGTGATATTGATGATATTATTGCTCAATAATTTCCAGATTCTCCTCCTCAATCTTTTTTTTTTTTTTTTAGTGGGCACTAATGTGATCTCTTGCCATTGGTTGGCCAGGTCGCTGCTCCGAAATATTTTGGCACAGGCAAGGGAGCACTGTGCCCATTTTTGGAAACATCTCAGTTGGTATTCCATTAGTTCCGAAGCCTTGTTTTTTACCAGTGCTTTAAGTTCTTCCTTCATTACCATAAGTGCTTGATGTTATGCTACCCCTAAAATGGTTGAATGTTGACCATCTCCTTTTGGTACAGTGACTCGGTTTATTGAATTTTGCCCAGAAAACCAACCAAATCAAACCCACAATCTTCAAGTTGATTCTGATTCATAGGCCCTAGATAGGTTTTCTGAAAACTGTAAATCTTTACAGAAGCAGACAACCTCATCTTTCTCCCAAGGAGTAGCTGCTGGGTTTGAACCTTGCAGATAGCAGGCCCCCTCCCCACCATTTCACCAGGGTTTTGGGTTTCTTTGCCCATGACGAATCAATTCTAACTCATAGCGACCCTGTGTACATTAGAACGAAATTCCTCTTTGTCCTGCGCCATCCTCACAATTGTCCTTAGGTTTGAGCCCCAGTCATTGTGTCAACCCCTCTCATCAAGGGTCTTTTTCATTCCCCGATACTTTACCAAGCGTGATCTGTCTTGGAAGAAGTGCAGCCAGAATGCTCCTGAGAAGCAAAGATGGGGAGACTTTGTCTTGTGTACTGTGGGCATATTGTCAGGAGAGACAAGTCCTTGAAGAAGGCATAACATGCTCAAAACAGAGGGACATCAAAAAAGGAGGAAGACCTTTAACAAGATGCTTTTTACCTATACGATCTTCCATTAGGCCAAATGGAGGCTGGTGCTTTTTTGATTGTTAGAGCTTGTGACATGCTTACATTTTATTTTATTACCTGGTCTTAAACTCCCTTTTGAAATCTTTTAGCTCTTTTCCCTCATAATTTCTTTCTTTTGCTTTAGCTACTCAACATCTAAGAGCAAGTTGCCAGAGTCTCTTCTGACATCCGTTTTGTCCACATTTCCTGTCACCTCTGTCAGTTGAATGAGGTTTCTCTTTCCTTATGCTGGGATGTCCTTGATGTCATCCCACAACTCATTTGCTCTTCAGTCATTAGTGTTTAGTGCATCACATCTGTTTTGAGATGCTCTCTAATTCAGGTTGGATGCACTCAAAGTGGTACTGTGGCTCTCATGAACTTGTTTTCATTTTCCTCAGCTTCAACTTAAAATTGAAAATGAGCAGTTGATGATCTGTTCCACAGTCAGCACCCTCTGGCCTTATTTTGACTACTGTTGTGCAACTTCTCCATGATCTTGTTCCACAGATAGAGTGGATTTGATTCCTGTGTTATTCTATAGTCACTATTTATGTTGTTAAAATAAGCTATTTGCAATGAAAAAGTTGTTGGCTTGCCAGTCTCTCTGTTTGGTCTTATTTCTGTCACCAAGAACCTGTTTTCCAAAGACCAATCCTTGGTTCTCACCAGCTTTCACATTCCAACCTGTTAATTATAAGTGTCTCTCAGTCGAACGATCGGTTTCAGACTACAGGCAGTTGTATGGATTGGTCAGAATGGTTGTGGTTGTCCATTCAATCGGTGTCATAGTTCAGTCAGAAAGTCTCTTCCCAGAGCCTTCACAGGCACTCCGAATCTTCATTTTCCCACGTGTATGTGAAGTTCACACAGTTCAAGCCCTCGGAGCTTGAGTTCTCACCCCGAAGTTGCATGTATTTTTATAAATGATAACGTGAAAATCATATCCTGAACACGTTGATGTGGCAGTGGAACCTTTACTAGCAAATGAGACTATTCAGAGCTGCCGTTCTGGTTAGCATTGTTAGAAAGGGCATATGTCTTTTTGTTGCACAGAGATGAGTGCCTTAGAAGTTAGAACCATGCCACTTTGGTGTCAACATTCTGCCTGCGATGGTATGTGTGGATATGTGTGCATAGGCCAGGGTTCTCGTGTACAGAAATATAGCTTACTTACTGTACTTAATAAGTTTCCAACTGTACCAACATCATATCACAAACCTGTGAATTGTACACTGAAAGGGAATTTTGTCCCACTCTGTATACTACCTTGCTATCCAGGTAAAACAAAGGAGAGTTATATGAGGGGGTGTAGAAGGAACCCTTGGGCTTCTTATAAACAGATGCTCCAGTATGCTCTTGCCACATAGGAATATGAGCTCAGTATTTAAAATGTATATAGACTAATGTTTCTTTTTTAAGAGAAGCAGACACTTGTTGGTTTTATCTGTTTTAATGTGAAAATACCATATATACTTGTGTATCAGCCGAGTTTTTCAGCACATTTTTAATGCAGTTTTTGTGGTAAAATTAAGTGCCTTGGCTGATATTTGGGTCGGCTTATATTTGAGTATATATGGTAACCTCTTTTTTAAATGTTAGGAATTGATGAAAAAATTAAAATTCTGTGTAGGTGACACAAAATTTGCCCTCTGAAATTGCTGAGGCCTGCCAGCTCATATGCTCTAGACTCTCTCTTTGCTTTGTCTTTCATAAATTCTCTTTTCTCCTGGGAGAGGAGAGCGCTCTCAGCAAGCAGGAACTTGGCGACTTGTAAATTCAATTGAGTGAACCCACAGACACTTTACGAACTGAGATGATTTGAGAAATACTTTCCTGTTTGACCATCTTCTGGTCGGTGTGGATTTCTCTACACAGAGATTGATTGAAGGTTCAGATAGCAGTTTTTTACATAATAGAGTGTGGGAAGCATAACTTTGGAATTTATATGCCAAATACAGATTCTACAGCCTTTATAAAACTTATAAGCCACTTACAACTATTCTCTGAAGATAGTGACTAGACTCATTACCTACAAATGAAAACTCATATAAAAGTATTAGCAAGCCCTGCTTTGCTGTAATGAATGGGTAATGGGTTAGTGTGTTTGGTGCTTGGAATATGATTATATGAGCATGAATACAGAAGTGGATTGTGTTAAACTGTTATTTTCCCTGATGTTGGGTTGTGGTAGTGTGCCTCCAAATCCATTGTGATGCATTGTGCCCCTATAGGACAGTGTAGAGCTTCTGCATAGGGTTTTTCCAAGACGATTTTTTTTTTTTTGGTAACCAAGACGAATTTCTATGGAAGCAGACAACCATATCTTTCTTCCTTGAAGTAGATTTAGACCTCTGGTCTTTCAGTTAGCAGCTGATTGCTTAACCTCTGCACCAAGCCCCTGCTATTTATTATTATAAATGTGCAATGCAGACTTCTCCCCCATGATGTTACAGATACAAGTTATGGGTAGACTCTTATTCAAATGTATTCTAGGTTATGAAGAATAAACCAGTTCAGGGACCTAATACTTTTTTCTACAAGGGGATAAAAGTATTTGGAGTACCAAACATTTGGAATGTAATCCACTTTAAGTTTGAGAACTTAGAGTTCTCCAGTCATTGGTTTGTAGTTGCCTGTATTTCACCTTAACTCACGTTTAGTCTCCATTAGCACCCTCTGTTTTTATTGTTCTGTCTCCCACAACATTCTCTACTTCTTGCCTGGGGTTGATCATGCATTGCAGTGGCCACACAGAAATCACCCGTATGGAGTGTATTAGGGAAGTTGACAGGTTACAATTCAAGTGAGTAGTGCTCAGGATACATTTCAGCAAGACAGTTTCTTCTTTGCTGTGCCCACAGGCAGACCCCTCTCTGACCTTCAGCCCAATGGCCTGCTCGTGCTGTGTGACAAGAGGCTTGGAGGACTGCCAATAAATGCCCAAAGGGCATGCCACTCCACCATAAATCTCAGCCTGAAGGCTTATACACTGGCTCTAGCTCTGTGGGTAGGGAAGCTTACTCCCTATAAAAGTCTTCAGAGTCTACCATACTCCACAAACCAGCTTCTTAACCCCAAATTCAGCTTTACTTTCTCTGTAGGGCAGGAAGTCCACTATTTTGGCTCCTGGTTCAACTGCTGCTGCTCCTCTGCCATTCTTCTGGTGTTAAAGCTGTCTCCTGGATCAAAGAGGTTCATGGTGCAGGAATCTCAGGTTCCAAAGGGCACGCTCCACTCCTGGTTCTTCTCTCTTGCTGGCAGTGAGATTACTGCTTCCTGCTTGTGAGAGGGCTCCTTTTATCCCCACCAGATGGCAATAACTATTAACCCTGTTTAACAATCACTCACAGCTGAATCATATAATCCTGTTAGTGTCTTTCTCATCTGTGTTAGTCTGGGTACACTAGAAACAAATCAGTGGACACACATATGTGTATAAGAAAGAGATTTATATACAAGAGCAATTGAACATTGAGAAAACATCCCAGCCCAGTCCAGATTAAAATATTAGCCCATATGTCCGACAGCAATCTATAAAGTCCTCTTCAGACTCAAAGAATACATGCAATGACGCTGAACGTAGAAGATCACCGGCCAGTGGGTAGAAAGTCTTTGGATCCAGTAGCATTGAAAACATCTCAGCGCTGGCAGGGATATCTTCTTGGCTTTTCCAGCACCCAGGGCTGCATCCGGGTAGGTCCATGTGTCTAGTCATCTGCTATGTCTCCCAGGGTGTGAGCAGAGAATCTCGCACCTCCAAGGAGGAAAATTAAAGCAATTCCCAGAATCCTTAGGGGAAGGCCATGCCCACACAGAGATCTCATTGGCCATATCCTGATTAATAGCCTAGACTTAACCCCTACATTCTTAATCCTCAAATTGACAAACGATTATATATCTACCACACCATCCTTTTATTCAGATTCATCAGGAAAATAGAGGTCGTTTTGTGGAAGTAACAAAGGCTAAGGCTCCAAAACTAAACCAGCCAAACTCAAACTGCAATCAAATGGATTCTGGCTCATAATGACTCTGTAAAAGGCTTTTTGGGCGCAGTCAGTCTCATCTATCTCTGGTAGTGTAGACTGGTGGGTTTGAACCACTAACCTTGTGGCTAGCAACTTGATGCATGACCCAGTAGACCACAAGGGTTCCTTTAAAGCAGGTTCTTAACCTTTCTAATGCCATGACCCTTCAATACAATTCATCAAATTGTTTTCGTTGCCACTTCATAACTGTTATTTTGCTACTGTTATGAATCGTAATGTAAATATCTGATATGCGGCACGTATTAGGCGACCCCTGTGAACAGGTCATTCGACCCTCAAAGGGGTGGCGACCCACAGGTTGAGAACTGCTGCTTTAAAGGAAGACTGGTCACAAGAAGGAGCCCTGGTGATGTAGTAGTTATGCTGCTAATTGCAAGGCCAGCAATTCAAAACCACCAGCTGCCGCTCCTCTGGACAAAGACGGGGCTTTCAGTTCTTGTAAAGAGTTCCAATCTCAGAAGTCCACAGGGCTGTTCTATCCTGTCCTAAAGTGTCGCTGTGAGTCAGCGTCCGACTAGATAGCAGTGAGTTTGTCTGTTTGGTATGACTAGAAGAACTGCATTAAGTAATCCACTGCATTGCAACTCATGTTAACAGTCTTTCAGTGGAATTTGGTCTTTCTCCATTTCAGTATTACAAAGCTCTATGGCAGTTCCTCCTGCTGGCTTCTAAGTGACAGACTCAGTGCTGGATTCCTAAGTAGAGACCATCGAGTAAGCCCTCCCGTTCTGCTCATGGGGAAACTGGCAGAGCCAGGGCAAGGGCAGGGCTGTTCCAGGCAATAGACCATTCCTTCCTGGTTCTTAGCCCAGTTATGCTGGGCATGCTTATATTGTGTGGTAACCACATTGCAGTTCTTGTGTGAACTTGTGTAAACATTTCTCTTGGTCACACCATCCATGTGCAGAAACATTGCCTGGGCCTGGGCCATCTTCGCAGTGGCTCTCGGTATGTTCCAGTGCATTGTGGTGGTCACGACACATTGAATGCCTTCCAGTGCAGGGGCTCACTTTGAACAATGATGTTGGGTGGTATGCTGCTGTGAAACTCTAAAAACCTTAGGGTTTTTAAGCGGTATAGCACCAAGCCCCTCTTCCTAGCCTATCTTAGTCTAGAAGCTCTGCTAAAACCTATCCACCATGGGTGATCTTAATGATATTTGAAATGTTGGTGACATAGCTTTCAGTACCATGGTGACAGGCAAGCCACCATTGTACAACAAACAGAAAATAACATTTTTATGTTTAAGTGGTCAGCATTAACTGGGGCGCACTTCATTGTAGTGTTGGGAGATTTTGAAATACATGCTTGAAAACCATTTTCAGGAACAAAATGAGAACTGTGACCTTTTGGATTTTGCCTACTTTTCAGCAGTGCAAACTCGCATTTAAAAAAGGATCACACATTGTGTAGCTTTTAGATATCACCATATTCTTTTGTAAGATTATTTCTTTAGGAGAATTGCTAGTAAAGGATTTGACATTGACTCATTAACTATTCGGGGCGTTGACCTCCTTTCCTCTCTTCCGGAGCACTGGGCACTTCTGCTGTGCATCCCAGGCCACTTCTGGGTCTCCATCACGGCAAAAGCCAGCTGCTGTTTGGGCTGGGTTTTTTTGTTTGTTTTTTATAATCACTTTATTAGGGGCTCATACAACTCTTCACAATCCGTACATACATCATTTGTGTCCAGCACATTAGTACATATGTGGACTTCATCATTCTCACAACACCTGCTTTCTACTTGAGCCCTTGGGGTCAGCTCATTTTTCCCCCTCCCTCCCCGCTCCCCCTCCCCCTGAACCCTGGATAATTTTATAAATTATTATTATTTTATTATATCTTACACCATCCGACATCTCCCTCACCCACTTCTCTGCTGTCTGTCCCCCAGGGATGAGGTTATATGTAGACCTTGTCATCTGTTCCCCCTTTCTCCCTCACCTTCCCTCCACCCTCCCGATATCGCCATTCTCTCCACTGGTCCCGAGGGGTTCATCTGTCCTGGATTCCCTGTATTTCCAGTTCCTATCTGTGCCAGTGTACATCTTCCAGTGCAGCCGGGTATGAAAGATAGAATTGGGATCATGATAGTGGGTGGGGGGGCAAGCATTTAAGAACTAGAGGAAAATGGTATATTTCATCGTTGCTATACTGCACTCTGACTGGCTCATCTCCTCCCTGCAGCCCTTCTGCAAGGGGATGTCCAATTTCTCCCGGATGGGCCCTGGGTCCCCACTCTGCACCCCCCCTCTCATTCACGAAGGGATTAGGTATCAGGCATCAAAGACCCCCCCCCCCAAAAAAAAATCATAACCTTGTGTTTGTTTGTTTTGAACTTTCAAATTATGTTATTTATTAACATCCATTTTAAGTTGATGGAAGCCTAACATTTTGCTCTAAAGCGGAGGACGAAGTAGGAGATAGCACCGGGTCTTCTCTGAATATGAAATTCAGCTATACTACAATTTCTATTGGCTTTCATAGTTGCTTAAATTTGTGTTTAAAACAATATTCTCCTAGAATATAACTGTCGTTAATTTGTTTGCTGGGATTGTGTTGTTGTTGTTATACATTCAGGTTTATTTTTACCAATACTACATGCTATGGTGTGACATATTTATCAACCTACAGTGAAACTTTATTAATGTGATTTAAAACCTTGTATCATCATCATTTTATATTCACATACTGCCAGGTCACTCAGCACCATTCTTGAACCCTGAGCTCTCAGGTCCAGTCCTGAGTGTGAGGCTCTGCTGTCAGAGCTCTCCTTGTTAACCCTTACTTTGATAGTCACTGTGTCTGGGGACAGGGAAAGGGGCTGAAGAGAACTATGCAGAGTGTTTGGGAAATTGCTGGGTAATCTTTAATATCGCTCAGAATTGGTTTAAACACTAGTATGACTTAGAATCTGATTTCTGAATGTATTCCCTTTAAAGTAAGTGGTGATGTATAGAAACGCTTATGAAATTGTTACCTTCATTTGTCATCTATGTTCATTTTGTAGTTTCCACCATCATTAACATATTTTGTTCCTTACCGTTTACAGCTCAGAATTCTGCAAATGCAGAGTTTGCAAACTTTGATGCATTTGGACAGTCTAGTGGTTCGAGTAATTTTGGAGGTTTCCCCACAGCAAGTCACTCTCCTTTTCAGCCCCAAGCCACAGGTAGAGCTTCTCCAGCGTGCGCTTACATGTTTCCTTTGAGAAAAGAAAGAAAAAATCTTTCAGTGTAGTTTTGAAAACTTACGCTAAACTTAAATTCTGTAATGATCTGATTTTAAAATTATTCTCTTACCTACCACGCTCTGGGGAAACCTGAATTTTTCATTTTTAGCTATGTTTTTTGTTTGTGTCTGAACTTTGGTGTGCTGTGTAATTCATTGCATTCAGCCTTTTCCTGCACAGGGACTTTGATGTTCTGAATTCAGGGTAGGTTCCAGTACCAGGGGGACTCCAGGCCTTTGGATAGAATTGAACTGCCTGCTTCCAAAGAACTTAAATACAAGCCATTTTTAGAGCAACAAATGTAGAAAAACTGCTCAATGTTTTCAGTCAAGATTATTAGATGATCTATGGCCACCTTACGTTTTTCTTTTTTTGTACAGAATGGCCATTTAAATCAAACATGTGAATTGTGTCTGTGCAGGAATTGAACTCTCCCGTGCACGGTTTGCTGTATTGTTTGCTAAAATGCAGCGAACACTTTAGAGCTTTGGCTGATTTCTTTTAACTCTGTGTTTGTCTGCAAGCCTTTTCTTTCAATTTTTCTTTAAATTTCACAATGTACATAATCTGGGGCTGTCCAGCAGTTAGAATGCTTCCATCTAGCTGCAGTTTTGGTGAATTCGCTTCCGCTTGCCCTCCCCAGATTGCCCACAGTAAGTTCTCTGTCAAATAGGCTTCTCAGTGATTTGTATGTTTTGTGCTGTGTTTCATAGATTTTTCTACTGTAGATTGTTAGTCATCTTTCGATGGTAACCTTTGAAGCTTCACTTTCACTTATCTATTAATAAGCTCTGACAGCATTAGATATCACAGTAATGTATAATTTAGTAAGTAAATTGAGTTGACCTCTCAGTTTTTAATAAGTTAAAATGCATACAGATGTTGAAGCTTATCATCTGCTTTGTTCACCAGCTACAGGTAGCAAACGAGTCTTCTAAATGCAGCCATATATTTAAGAACTCAAAACCCAAGCCCCTGCAGTGGACTCTATTCTGACTATAGTGACTCTAGAGGACAGAGTAGAAATACTTCTAAGATTTCTAAGGCTGTACAGGGAGGAGATGACAGCCTCGTTTTTTTTCTATTGGAGAGAGTGTTGGCTTCTAACTGCTGACTGTGTGGATTAGCAGCCCAACATTGCAGTTAGCAACCCACTGCACCACCAAGGATCTTTAGAACTACATGCTACTTAGTGTTGATGAAAACAGCCAGAGTTTTATTTGAGTCTTCAGAAAATTTGTGAAAAAAAATTCCATTTTCCTTTCATTCTATTTTTCCATGATTTTTAAAGCCCCCTTGCACATTTGTTTTTCAGCCACATCTAAAGAACTGATTGATAGAAGAAAGTCCTCTCTCTTTTCTAAGGGGTGGTATCATCAGTTCTACTTTGTAACGGTCTGTTGATGTGCTTTGCTATCACTTTATAACAGAAGGACCCTTTGTGATAAAGCACTTAAAACTCTTGGCCACCAACCAAAAGGTCGGCCATTCACACCTACCAGCCACTGTGTGTGTGTGTGTGTGTGTGTGTGTGTGAGAGAGAGAGAGAGAGAGAGAGAGAGAGAGAGAGAGAGGGGTGGGGGTGGGGGAAGAGCGAGAGAGAGATTTCAGCCTGGGGAACCCTACTACGGAGTAATTCTACTCAGTCCTGTAGGATCACCGTGAGTCAGAATCAACTGGATAACAACGGGTTTGGTTTTTTTGTGTAAGAGATTACTGACCTGGCCGCTGGCCGGAGCTGAGTATAGCACTAACAGGTATGGTATCAGAAGTGTAGAATCAAATCTACTGGTCCTGCTGGAAAGGCCATATTTTAAGGGGGAGTTCTCTAGAATAGAATGTACAGATCCCCACATTGTGCTGCTTAGAAATAATTTTTTTCTGGACTATTTAAATTTTATTTAGTGTCTACTACAGTTTTTATTCCTTAAATTGCATAGTAGGGCTAGATTTAGCTGTGTACATCATGGTATTATATGCAGTTCAGTTACTGTGTGGCATTAATTCAGTCCAGTGCTCAGTGTCACTTTGAGAGAAGTTCTGGATGAAAGGGTGCATCTGAAACTTGTCCCACCAGTCATTGCGGGGTTTGTGTGTGTCGTGACTCCATGGGGTTGTCACTGCTTAAACCTTAAGTAAGACAATTTGCACCTTACTAATAAAACAGTACTAGTAACAGGTCATATTTAGTACCCATGGGATGTTCTGCAGGTCTTTCAGTGGCACAACTAGCTAACACCCCCCAGTACTAACTTAAAGGATCTCTGTTTGTATTTAGCCAGTGTGCCGAAGCAGAAAGGCTTTGCTGTCTGCTTCCATTGAGATGAGAGCCCAGGAAACCCTGTGGAGCAGCTCTCCTCTGTAACACCTGGGGTGGAACTGAGTTTCAGGACAAGTAGCATGTTTCTGGCTGTCAAGGTCTTTATTGTTTGTCACCCGACATTGTCAGGGCCTTTGAAACCCAGCTTCACAAATGATAAAAAGCCAAGTTTGGATTACATTTGGATGCCACTTGGCAACCAGTCTTAAAAGAGTAGCGTTACTTGCAGAGTACTTCACTTAGGAAGAATAATCATGATGTCTACCAAAGGAGATCGGGAAAAGTCTAGAAATTTTAAGTGTTCTGTTTATTCTATTACAGGTGGAAGTGCTGGATCAGTAAATGCTAATGTTGCTCATTTTGATAACTTCCCCAAATCCTCCAGTGCTGGTTTTGGAGCCTTCAGTACTTCCCAGAGCCATCAGACAGCACCGGCTGTTAGTAGAGTGTCAACGAGTAACAGTGGTCTACCGACAGCGGACAAATACGCAGCCCTTGCTAATTTAGACAATATCTTCAGTGCTGGGCAAGGTATCACTCTTTCAACAAAGTGAATACTAGTGTGTATATGAAACCGTGCTCTCAATTTACTGACAGTCATGATTCCCCGAGGGTGTTACACTTTTCTCACTTGTTTCACAATTTTGTGTGCACTTAACATTTCTGAGTCAGAGTTATGATTCCTTGGTACATTATGGATCTCAAGTGTTTTTGGAGTCCTGATCAGGATGAGCCTTCTCGATAGAACCCAGAAATGTGTTAATAACTCCAGCCACTGGCTAGCCATCAGGCTGCTGTCCTGGTTAGAGGGGCGGCGCTGGTCATCTGTATACATGGACTAAGGTGAAAGATCCTTTGCTAGGTTGGGGCTCATAATTGGAAGTGTCTCATGGCTGACTAGTTTAAGATCTGTGGAGTTGGAGTCCTGGTAGCGCAAAGGATTAATACACTTGGCTGCAAAGCAAAAGGCTAGCGCTTTAGGCCCCACCCAGAGGTATTTTGGAAGATAGGTCTGGTGATTGAACTCTGAGAAATCAGCTGCCCAACTCTGACAAACACAAGGCCATCAGGCAGGCATCAGTGTTGATCTTGATGGATAGTCGGCTGTATTTTCAGGTTTTCTGTGGTAGCCACGAAGGATGCCCTGTGCGTCTCTGTTGTGCACTGCACCTGGCGCAGAGGGGAACGGTGCTGCCGTTGCTGAGACTACGTGGGGCTGCTCACTTGGTTTTTAGTCATCTAGTCAGACATTGTAATGCTAACTTTTAATCCTATTAAAAGTCCCTCCTCTGCTCTGAGAACCATTCCAGATGGTTCTGTATAGCACTGAGCATGTATAACGCTGTGGGTAAGCTATTAACTGTTTTTGCCAGTCATCTTTTTAAGATGCAGTGTCATAAAATTGTTGGTGCACGGAACCCTGCCTTCCCCATTATCCCGCATCTTGTCCACACTCCCCACTAACTGAAACCTGCCATTCCAGGGAGCAGGAAGCATTACCCATCACTCACTGTGCCAGTGCTGCTGGCATGTGCCAGCCCATTGTTAAGATTTGTTGGAAGAGGTCTTAATGTCTTCCTCCCTCACAAGAGTCAGTAGACATGATTCTAGAGACGTGCTCAGGGCGTACAAAAGGATCATAGACGACTCATTAACATTCTACATTTGTGAGCTTTTCCTCCCCCTCATTTCCTTTGGGGACCGTGAGGGGAGAGCAGTGACATCACCGCCCCCCCTGTGAGTATGCCCTACTCCTGCACAGAATGAGCAGTTCATTGGTGCTTGCCTCACTGTGCCCAAGGGGGTCTCGCCTAGCCCCTTCAGTGCACAAATGGAAAACTTGAGCCTGAGCCTAGAATATTCCAGACCAAACACCACCCAGACAGAAGCAAAGTGCAGGCCTATCTCTGGAGCCTCTCGCTCTGTGTCACTTAAGCTGCCTCCAAGAGAGAGCGAAACATCGTGTGCCAGGAGGTGAGGGAAGTTAACTGGTTGATTTCAACAATGAGTAATTCTTGGCAACTCTGTAAGTCCCTACTACCAAGTAAGAATGGATGGATTCTTTGAAAACGTCTTGGAACTACATGCTTCAAAAGAGGAATCCCTGGTGATCAAAGGGTTAATTAAGTTGCTGACTGCTAACCAAAAGAAGCATGTCAGAGAGGCCTATAGGTCAGTTTCCAGAAACTCGGCCTTTAGAAATCATGGGGCTCAGTTTGGCCTTCCCACACGAAGGCAGGCACTGTGAGCCAGAGTAGGTTGGATTGTGCCTGTTTTAAAGAGGAAACACCAGTGACATTTTAAATTTTGTTCAGAAATTCTATTATCAGCACTAAATGAAGGGTTGTTTGGTAGCTTTTATAATATATTAGTTTTTACCTTTTTAATCAACGTCTTGGTGTATGGCATGATTTAGTATTTTAGGATTTTAAAAGTAAATTCTTATAGAACAGAGAATTATTTTCTCTCAGTTCTGGAGGCTTAAACCAAATCTTGAGCATGCAGTTTCCTTTCTTGCCAGTAGGCCCTGGTGGGCATTTTTTGGCTTATTTCCTTACTTGGCACTGGTGTGTGTGTGTGTGTGTGTGTGTGTGTGTGTGTGTCTGTCCATCCGTCTCTTTCTGTGTCTGTCTACATCTCTTCTCATTAACACAGCCAAAAGAGAGCTTAGTTCGAAACAGGATCACACCCACAGGAATCCAATATGCATTTCAGTACAGAACGAATGATGGGAAGCATGGTTCTGGTGCTGGACTAGATTGTGCACCTGGACTGCTGGCCCAAATCTTGCCATCCCCAGTATGAGGACAGTAGCAGCATTGCCCTGACATAGTAGTGTTTTGTGCACTGGTGCGCGTAAGGCATCCAGGACTGCATTGGAACCTGGCCAGTGCTGTTGCAAGGCGAGCCCTTTGGTGGCAGCTTTTCCCACAGTTCTGGTGGTCCTGTCCTCCTGTGGGCCTTTCTCTTCCTTTCTGTGGCCTACTAGCAGTGTGTGGCCTTCCTTGCCCTAGGTCTGTCTGTCCAGCTCTTTTTATAAGGAGCTACTTGGAAGTGATTAGGTCTGGGATCCACCCTGCTCTGTGACATGGCTTCATTAACATAACAAGAATCTCCATTTCCAGAATGGGTCCTGTTTGTTGGGTGCAGGGTTTGTCCTTTATATTTTTGGAGGACACAATTTAGTGTTTCCTGCCATTACTATCCCTATCTTTTCCATGGAAATTCATACACATTTGGTTCCAGTTTTTGTGTTAATTTTTATATTCATTTGGGTGTGTGGCTCTGTCCTCACTTTAAGCTGGATCTAGACTTGTTACAGGTTGATATAGAGTCTGGGGAAACATTGTTTTATCTTTCTACAGTGGTGTCCCTGGCAACTAATGCTGTCCAATATTATCTTGACTGGTCGTTAGTTTAATACTCCAAAATGCTGTCAGCTTGTTTTTCTTGCTCCACATCAGTTTTAAGTGTACCTGTGTTTCATGGGCATACATACTAGCTAGGGTTAATGAATGACTCCAGATCTTGGGTGTAATTGTGTTCCTGGTTTCTGCTGCTTCCCAGGTGGTGATCAGGGCAGTGGCTTTGGGGCCACCAGCAAAGCTCCTGCTGCGACTGTGGTTCCAGTTCCCAGTCAGCCAAGCGCCACTTCAGACAAGTATGCAGCTCTGGCGGAACTCGACAGCGTATTCAGCTCGGCAGCCACCTCGAGTAATGCGTACACGTCCACGAGTAACGCCAGCAGGTACCTGGCCTCTCACTGGCCACACTCCATGGGTATTTTCCTCAACTAAATGATAACATGGTTATGTCACGACCGTTTCTGGGCATAACATTTGGACATGACATTTTTTAGGGCTTTTGTAAACTTGAGGAAACTGAATTGAATCTGCTAATTAAAATAGATTCCTTGCCCCTGGCTGCCATAGTTTAAACTTTTTATTGGACATAACATTTTAGTTTTGTTTCTTGAACACTGACATATCAAAGGCTACACGTCTCTCACAGTGGATAAAAGTACATTTAGTTGTACTTACCAGGGAGTCCATTCAGTGGTTACGTTGTAGACTTTTTTATGTATCCTTCTTAGTCAAGAAGATGGAATAATGAAAGTATCACCTTGAGGTGTGCTGGCTAGTAATGTTTTAGAAATACTTTCATCAGGGCTCTGCATCCTGTGGACCCTCTGATGGCTTTGAATCACCAGCCTTTTGGTTTACAGCCAAGTACTAAACCATCACACCTCTTGTCTTTGAAAGGATGACTGACAAACCCACGGTTATTCAGGGTTAGGTCCTTGGCAGACATTGTCTCAACAAAAATCACCTAAGTTTATCAATTTAAGGTTCATTTAAAGTGCAAGTCAGGCCTGTGAGTTTTGTTCTATATGAAAAGATAAATCATAGACCTCATAGTCCACATTGCAAATGACATAGGAAAAGTATCCCTGTTGACTAGGAAAAGCAGGGATGGTTCGGTATCCACAATTACTTGAAACGTCTGTTAAAATATTGCTAATTTGCTCAATTCTATGGCTGGGTGAGGCTGGATTTTCTTGATTCACATGGTGAAGTCACAAAGTATTGCTATAGAATCCGAGAAGCCTTTAATAAACAAAAGTATCAAAATGGATAGCTTTTGTTTCTTGACACATTCCCCATCGAGGGCTGTATCGTATACAGGCAAGGTTTCCAGCCCTCTAGCCTGCCTGAGGAGCCCTGCTCCTTGGTAAAAATGGCAGGTTCTGTGTCCTCAAGGGACTCAAGCCATGTTCCTTGGAAGTGGTCTTTAAGTTTTGGGAACAAGCGAATCTGAAGGGGTAAAATTGGGGCTGTAGGGTGAATGGGGAATGGTTTCCCAAAGTAAGTCTCCTAGGACAGCCCTTGTTACCCTCAAAGAATAGGTGGATAGTCATGATGGGAATAAATTCCTCCTCAGCAGAACTCTCCTGGCCTTTTCCTCAGTTTTAAAATGTCTTCCCCCCCATGGTTGTCCTGCCTCCTCCTCACCTTCTATTTAACGGACTGCGGTCAATGTTTGTTTTCAGCAATGTCTTTGGAGCAGTCCCAGTGGGTGCGTCTGCACAGACACAGCCTGCTTCTTCCAGTGTGCCTGCCCCCTTTGGAGGTACGTGCTTCTAGTCCGCCAGAGCCACAGTGGGCGCTGATGTTGAGTGGGATGAGCTGTGTAAGCACACCAGGAGGTGCTCAATACAATGGCTCATAATCAGAAAGCTGGAGTTTTCTCTCAATATAGTAAAGTGAACAAGTATTTTTAACTATTTGAATGCAAAAGGATGGGGATATGATCATGTCTTTTCCAATTTTTTAAAGCTCCACCTTCCACAAATCCATTTGTTGCTGCTGGTGGCCCTGCTGTGGCGTCTTCCACAAATCCATTCCAGACCAATGCCAGAGGAGCAACAGGTAAGGAGCCCCACTGCAGGCTCTAATTGGGTGAGCGTTTAGAGGAGGTGTGTTGCAGAGATGCCCAGGAACGGAGGACAGCTGGCGGGGGGTGGGGGCTCTGAATGGAGTGTAGGTGGAAGACTTTGTCCTCAGTAAAAATACCACCCACGTATTTCTAAAGTCTTGGGGTCGTGTAGCTGACAGGGACCTTCGTGGTGTTCTAGGGCCCAGCACCCCCCAGTCCAACTTTCATTTCTCCTGTGGACCTAAGACTTATCGCTAAGGTAGGACTCTAGTGAGGCAGTTTGACTTACTTGATGGTCTGAGGTCAGGGTTCCTGGCTAAAATGTTTTCAGTCTTCATAGAACAGTTTCATAAGAGGTTTAAATATGAAGGGTTTTCAAAATATCTGTAATGAAACAATGAAAAGAGCTTGGAGTGGTCCCACAAAGTTTTTGAAGCCCTCGAGGTGAGGAGCTCTCCTGGTATGAGGTGCCTGAGCTCGGAGTAACCAGGTCTTTCACTGGCGCGTTGACAGCCTGATTTCAGGAACTGCAGACAATTTGGGCTGTGTAATCTTGTTTTTTTGTTTGAGCCTCAATTGTCTTAGCGCTGAAGCTTCAGTTCTGGCAATGTTGGCACAAGAGATACCTGTACCATTCAAATTAGATCAGTACCAAGAATTAATACTTACTTAGAAATATGTCATTGTTAAGAGGTATAGTAAGAGTTTGAGCTATAACTCATAATATTAGCCTTTTTATATAAATATTTTTAGCCATAGTTTGTCACTAGTATACTAGCCTTTTAATAAATATTTGAAGTTTACAAAAAGTACATGCAGTTTAATTTTTAAATGCTTTGTTTTAATTGAAAGTATTTCTACATTTTATCAATTATATATATGAAGCAATTTCTGTTTCTTAGTATACATTGTTTTGGATTGATGGAACTAGTTTAAAATTTGAAGTAGACGTGTTGGGTGCAGCCAGATTTGTGTTCAAATTCAAACTTAATGTTTGCTGGGTGACCTTAAGAAAGCTTTATGGATCATTTTAATGAATGGGATGTAAAGATGGTAAGGTGACCTTCTAACATTTATTGAGTACTCCCAATTATCTGTGATGGGTTCTAGGTGCTTATAAACACATTTAACAGCTGAGGAGTAGAAACGGTATTTACCTTGATGCAACATATTATATTGACTAAATTTCTCTGACATTATTATCCATCTCTGTAGCGGTGTTCTGTGGCTGGCAGGATTGTGGGGAGAAGTAGGATTGTGGGACCCAGCCAGCATGGTCTCTGCATTGTCCTTGGAATCGGGCTGGTCTTAGTCTTGAATATCAGGGTCTTCCTGGGGTCTAAAACATGCTGTGTATGTGAAAGCATGATGTGAGATCATTGTACTAGCTCAAGCATATGTCTTGGTAACTGGAAATGTCAACATAATATGTCTGCAAAGTTCTCTACTCCAGTAGGAGTTTAATAGCGTCTTGCTTTTAGGGGTGGGGGTGAAGGAGTGGTGTGGTATGGTGGTGATAGTAAGGAACATGATTTCTTTCTTGCTGCGCACTGCAGTATGTCATCATTTGAAAAATTGGCAAATGTTGTAGATCCTTTCAACTCTTCATTTTTTTCCACTACAAAGGGTTTTCAATTTATCTCATTGATCATCCTCCTGCACTTATGGAGCGTGGACAAAATGGAGACCCAAAACCCACCTGTAAGATAATTGGACAGCGCCTTATAGAAGGGTCACACAGCACAGATGAAATATATAACTGTCCTCTAGTTCTTTAATATTTCCTCCCCTTAACCATTATGGTCTTTGTTTTACCTCCATTAATCTCAGTACACCTGTGTATGTTCATTTGTATAATTAATATTGTTCAATGCATGAAAACCAAGATAGATAACCCTTCAGAAACAGTAACAGGAGTAATGATATCCTGAGGATGCAGGAATTGAGGTAGGGGAAGGGGGAACTGATAACTGTGATGATTATAACCCCATGGAAGGGGAACTGAGGGAGACAAATAACATAATTGTAGGTGAATGGATACACTGGATGGCGTAAGATACAACTAAATATAATAGTAATAATAATAATATAATAATGGTCCCTGGGGGATACAGTGGGGGGTGGGGAGCCCAGACAGACCAAAATTAACTGTATGCTTCTACTGAAGCAGAAATATCATTATTTCCCACAGATGAACTTTTCTTTTTGTTCTTTAGAAAAGACTTTTGTTTCCCTGTGACGTTTATTTTGTGTAAATACATCTTGAGATTCCTTTTGAAAGAAGGAATCAAGGAATAGTTGGATATGAAATTGATGACATTTTAGTGATATTTCTCAGTCTGAAAATTAGTATTTTACTGATATGTGTTCCGGATATATACTAAACTTGGGGTTAACTTTTTACCCTGTAGCTTTCAGCAGGAGACTGACTAAAATGGTCCAAGTCTTCCTTTTTAAATTTTAGGATTCTTTGATAATGTGGGTTTCTTCTTAAATTTTTTATCAGAACCTTTAGTGCAAATTTGATTTTCAGTGATTAGAAATCCTGTCTTATAATCTTAAGACCTCCTCACCACGCAGAGAGTGGCCTTTCTAGCCTCTCTTTAATGCTGCTGTGGAAACCTGCAGGACCGTGGGGCTGAACGGGAAAGGGTAGCGTTGTTTTATGACCTGGCCAGAATGGGTTTGTCAAAGTATTCACGGACTTGCCCAGAGGGTTCAAAATTAGCTGGTGGCTAGTCTGATATTAGGGGTCATAACCCATGTAAACCAGTATCATTTCCAGTCCAGATCACAGCCTGCTTCTCTAATTACTGCATGTCTCTATAGACTGTACATGGACAGATAGGCTTTCTTCCTCTTTTGAATCAACCTTCTTACTGATTCTTTCCTTTGGAATTGTAAACATTAGAAACCAAGAAGTATATGTATAATTTAGTTTTGTATTGATGGAAAATATGCTGATCAGCATTAATTAGTACTGTTTCTTATTTATCTGTAAGTACTCAGTAAGCCCACCTGATTTGTGTATTGTATCCTGAAGAGGAACATTGGAACAACATTTGTGGTGTTGTGGAAGGGCAGTAGGGAGGAAAAGCAAAGCAAAAACCAAAGTAGATGTTATGTGGGGCATGTGAGAGATACTGTGGTATAGTAAAGTTGCTTTTTTTACTTCTTAAATTTCCACCCTCAACTTAATACTTGCACAATTCTAACATTTCATAGTTTGTAGTCGACACTTATTATAGAGAAAGGCTTAATTTAATTGCCAGTTTGATAATAAAGAACCAGAAAAGTTAATAAAACCCAGAAAGTTTTCAATGTAGAGCAGTCCAGAGAAACTGTGTAAATCATATATTTATAAGGGATTTGTGTCTAGAATGTATAGAGAATTCCTATAAGCCAGCATTTAGAGAAAAACACGTAAAATAGGTTAGACAGGTCTCCAAAGAAGATATGCAAATGGCCAATAAGAGACATCAAAAGTGTCCCACACCATCATGATGAAAACCAACGTGAGATACCACTTCACATTTACTAGGATGGCTGCAATCAAAAAGATAGGCACTAGCAAGTGTTCAATGGAAATTAGAACTCTGTACATTACGGGTGGGAATACGAAACAGACCACCTGCTTTAGATAGCAGTTTGATATAGGCTGAGGTGGGGGCGGACCTACCATCGAGTCAGTTCCGACACATAGTAACCCTCTAGGACAGAGCAGAACTGCCATTGTGGGAGCAGAGAGCCTCATCCAGAAAAGCAGCCAAAGGGTTTGAACTGGGGTTTTAACTGCTGACCTTGTGGTTCGCAGCCTAACTCACAACCCATTATGCCACCTTAAAAAGTTCAACGTAGAGTTACCACATAGCCCAATAATTTCACTCCTGGCTTATATATCTAAGAGGAATGAAAACACGTGTGCACAAAAACTTAGACACACATGATAGTGTCAAGAAAAACAAATCCAGGGACACTCGTGTGTGTATAAGAAAGAGCTTATCAAAGAGCAGTTGTACATTGAGAAAACATCCCAGTCCAGATCAACTCTACAAGTCTGATAGTAGCCCTTAAGTCCATTACTACTCCATAAATTCCTCTTCAGATTCATGTAGCCCCTCACAATAATGCCAAATGCGGTAGATCACAGGCTGGTGGGTGAAAAGTCCTGTGGGTCCAATTGCAGTAGAGACATCTCCAGGGCTCTGGGTACCATCAGCGTGGCTTCATGTGGCTTATCAACAGGAATGTGAAGCAGAGAGAGAGTGTGTCCCACCTCACCAGAGAAAGAGAGGAAGTCCCCAAATCCTCATGAGAAGGCCACACCCACAAGGAGGAATCATCTGTCTGTGACCCGCTTGGCAGGCTCTACTCTACCCCTTCTTAACAGCCTCAAGTTGATACGAGATTATGTAGCTACCACAAAATTTTCATAACCCTCCAAATGTCTGTGGTCTGATGAGTGGATGAGCAAACTACTAGCCATACAAGGGAGTGTTACTTAGCCATAAACCAGAACGAAGTCTGATGCACAGATGAACCCTGAGAGCATTGCAAAGTGAATGCAGCTAGCCGCACAGGGTCACAGTACTGTAAGATTCTGTTTATATGAAATATTTCAATCTGTGAAGATGGAAAGTAGCTGGTGAAGTTGCATGACAGCACATGGGTGCAGATTTCTTTTAGAGGGATGAAGATGTGTGAAAACTAGACGGATGTTGCCTGTATCTTCACAGGAATAAGCGGTTAGTGTGGATTTTAAAAAGTGAATTGCTTCCATGTTTCTTCATCTTAATTATGATTCTAATCTCCTTTATTCCTAACAGTGTAACTCTGACAGCGTCATGAATGTAGTTGAGATAAAAGGGCTCTCTGGATGGCCATGTGCTTTATATGTGCTCACGCTGCCTGCTTTGCAGCGGGCCAACCCCCTTAGAATGGGGTGAGGGACCCAGTGCATTTGTAGCTGAACAGTCGTAGCTGTAAGCGAATTGACACCGCTCTCTTTCTGGCTTTCCAAAAGGCCTGTCTGGAGCACTCCACTCTCAAGTCTTTCCTCACGCTCATTTTGGTAGGTGGCCATGGCTGGTTCCTGGGTCTGTGGCAGTGTGTTTATCTGCTTGTGGGGGCTTCTACTGACGTACCGCTTCTGGCTTCCTGCATGTGGCATAGGGTCACCCTCTCTCCCCATCCCCCACCCGATATTTAAAATGCACAGTGGGCATGGATGTGTGCCATAAAACTGCATTGCATTCAAAGTTACATGAAAATTCATGGTGGTCATCTGTAAATGCCAGCAAATGTTACTGCATAACTCTATGGTCACCTTAGACTTGTCCCTGCTGCTATGGTTAGTTTCTTTGAGCTTGAATTCATAGTATCTGGAGTGACACGCTAGGGAGGGCCCAGGCCCTGTTAGCGCGTCATTCCTTAGTGTTTGGTTTTGCTTCAAGGAATCTGAGCTGTGTTTTCCTTGCGCTTCTGAAATGTGTTCTGTTGGACCTTGCCCGCCTGCCCCCTCGCCCTGCTGCTCACTCTTTCACTCCTGTGCTTCCCACTGGCTTGTTTCCTGGTGTGCTCATTCAGAATAGCAAAGAAGGTCATTTTAAAAATACCGATTCTAATCGGGTTCATCGGTTACGTGCATGAGAACCATGCAGACGACTCAGGAGACACCTGTAACATGTGTCTGGACTGGTCGGTTTTAACAGAAGCCCGACTTCTTGCCGTGCTTACAGATCTTAGCTTCTGAGCCTAAATCATTGATCATGCTGGTAAGTCCTAAAAGGCAGGATTTCCATTGACTTGGGCCTATGATAGCGTCATGCACAAGCGGTCTCACTTTCTGTATTTAAAGTAACAGGGTTGGTTTCCTATTTCTCTGAGAGCCTTCCTGGAACACACTGTTGAGGCTTTGTGGGACATCATCCCTAGCATCAGGGGCATCTGCCCTGCTCTGTTGCAGACTTCATCCCTGACGAATCAGGGTCGGTGGAGGGTGATCACAGCATACCTAGTGGGGTTGTGATCCTTCACACACAGATTCCCTTCAAAATGCCATATTCTGTTGCATGAGTCAGTAACAGCTAGACACATGCAGGGCCGAACACTGTGTTTGCTTGCCGCCCGACTTGCTATAGCTTGCCCAAGAAAGGCTTATTTCAGACCTTTTCCAATCTCTGCACTTCCCTGATCTTCATGACTCAGCAGTCTGCCCAGTCTGGCCCTGTGAGACCTCCTTCCATGCTGCCCGCATTCACCTTCCACACGAGGAAGATGCATTCATTAGAAATGGAACACAGCCTTCTGAATGTGCCAGTGATTGTGCTAGAAGTTTTTAAAAATGTTTTTCTTTGGTAAAAGGGCTGTGTGAGTCTTTAATGGTCTGCCTCACACCTGTTGTCTCCTATAAGCTCTGTTCAGTGAGCTCTTTACATAGGACTCCCTCCGCCCTGATATTCGAGCAGATGCTCCAAGAGGTAAAAGTGAAAATTTGGATGTTGTTTATAGCAAAACTGAACCATAAAAGCAAATACGGTTTATTGTGTACATGGGAATTGAATGGTGATGAACTTTAAAACCTGCATTACGGTGTAGACTACACCTTCTTAAAATGAAACTGAGAGGTTGATGTTGTGTAGACCATAAGCTTTATTGGTCCCCTCTAGTGGCTGGGTTGTAAGAGAACACATTTCACAGGGGCAGTACCTGCATCTCGCAGGTGGTCAGTCATTCAGTGACCACAGGTCCATCCCAATTCTCAGTCACACTAAGCCTTATCGTTGCAGACCTGTTTGGGATTTTAGATGCCTTTAAAACACATCGGTAGTTTCCAAAGGAAATAAGACCTAGCCTGTGATGTTGAATATTGGAAACCGACCCATCCCGCCATGTGTAACTCTTCTCCCCTCTCTCCTCCAGCCGCCACTTTTGGCACGGCATCCATGAGCATGCCTGCGGGCTTCGGGACTCCTACCCCCTACAGTCTTCCCACCAGCTTTAGTGGCAGCTTTCAGCAGCCTGCCTTCCCGGCCCAAGCCACTTTCCCTCAGCAGACAGCATTTTCTCAGCAGCCCAATGGTAAGACCCTATACTGTCCTTAGTTAGCTTTCTTATCTCACCGTACTGGCAAGGGTATGGACAAAGAGAATTGTCTCCTGAGTGTTTGCCACATAAAACAGTAGCCTCTGGGGACGTGGACCTCGATTGACTCACCGGGTGACCAGGTTGCAGCTCTATGAGTGAACCCTGGAGTGAACCCTGGATGTCTGCAGAGTGCCCCTCCCTTTCAGGGTCCCGAGGGACCTTCCTGATGAATCCTATTACATGCTTGCCAGCTGCTTGGTTTCATAAGGACCGTGTGGACCTTATATGTGTTACATGTGTTTCTGGTCTTTACAGCAATGTTGCGCATGTGTCCTGTTGTAGAAGGATGCTTTAAATGAACTAAGATGATCCTCTAAAGAAGTTTATGTGCTGTAGTAACCTGTAGTTAGATTTCAGTTTCACATAGAGACCAGGTTTTTAACCCATGTCTCTCATTTGCTAAAGTGTGAAGTTTACAATTTTGGAAGTCACTTGAATGACAATCACATATTTTCCTTTTTAAAGTCCATGGTTGGGCCAAGGTTTGGAAGCATGGTCTGTGAGAGATCCGTGCATAATGAAATACATCGTTGGGTATACTGGACTGTTCACATAGAAACCAGCATGGTCCTTAAGTGATCCAGCTGCCATCAAGTAGATTCCAACTCATAGTGGGACCCCTGGACAGTAGACCTGCTCTGTAGGCTTCCCAAGGTGTCAGTGTTTAGTACAGAAGCAGACTGCCTCATTTTTCTCCCACAGAGAGGCTGATGGCTTTGACCTGCTGAGTCTTGGTTAGTTGCAGTGTTTTAGCCACTGTGCCACCTGGGCCGTTGCTGCCCTACAGCCCTTCCCAAATAGTCACTAGTTCACCAGCGAAATCTTCTGGGTGCCAAAACGGTACATCTGAGACAGTGTGATGAACCCATTCCAGAGAGTGGCCAAAGCGCTCCTTTGACCTTTGGCTGTGGTGTCAGGGAGGGGACATGGGAACGGGCAGTTAGACACTGAGGTGTACTCTTGCTGCTCCTGGACACTTGTCTCTGAGACTCATGAGAAGAGCTCATAAGTATGGGGTTGTCTTTTGTCAGGTACAGGTTCTAATCGGGGCTTCTCTTGTAACAAGGTGCAGGTTTTGCAGCATTTGGACAGACAAAGCCAGTGGTGACTCCTTTTGGTCAAGTTGCAGCTGCTGGAGTATCTAGTAATCCCTTCATGGTGAGTTGTTTTGATTTTAGGCCCTTTAATTGTTAGATGTGTTTTCAGACTCTGAAACGCAGGAAGGAAGTGAGCGTGAGATGCTTCCACCTGCTCTGACTTTAAGGAAGACTGCTATAGTGGGCTCGCATGGCAGCCATTGTGAGCCTGGCACAGCCAGGCAGTACTGTGGGCTGTGGTCTACAGGCTTTCTGAGTGAGAGCCGACTGGACACTTAACATGCTGTGGGTGAGCACATAAGGGGGTCTTAGTGCCATCGTGCCTTTAGGGTCCTGCTGTGAAATGACAGCCAGGAACGGAACAGGAAAGCACCCCCATGAAGTGGTTTTGTTGTAACCGGTTCACTGCCTGCGTGTCTGCTCAGGACCTAGAGCCCAAAACCAAGCCAAACCATACCTATCATCAGCCAGATCATTCCAGACCCAGCCCCCCAAAGCAAAGCAAACCCCACTGCCAGCCAGTTCAGTACAACCCATAGCAAGTCCTATACAGGGTTTCTGAGACTGTAGATCTTGGTGGGAGCAGGCAGCCTCCTCTTCCTCCTACTGAGTTTTGTTAGAGTGTGTCCAGCAGCGGGAAAGCGTAAATGGTCTTCTAGGGAAACCTGAAGAACGCTTACTCTGCTGAACACATGCACTTTTCTCATATTTCCCACACTGCTCATGTACTTGTCTGTTTATTTCTGTTGTGTCTTGTGTTTCTCTTCAGACTGGTGCACCAACGGGGCAGTTTCCAGCAGGAAGCTCATCAACCAACCCTTTCTTATAGCCTTATATAGACACTTTCCCGGAACGAACTTGAACGTGGTCACATTACATCTCTCCGCCTCTTGCACTGTTGTATTGTTTCACTGATTTAGCTTTAAACACAAGAGAAGTCTTTGAAAAACCTGCATTGTGTATTAAACACCAGGTAATATGTGCAAAACAGAGGGCTCCGGTAACAACTTGTAACCTGTGAATTGGCAGAAAAAGGTAGCGGTATCATGTATATTAAAAATTGGCTAATATTAAGTTATTGCAGATACCACATTCATTTTGCTGCAGTACTGTACATATTTTTCTTAGAAATTAGCTATTTGTGCATATCAGTATTTGTAACTTTAACACATTGTTATGTGAAAAATGTTACTGGGGAAATAGATCAGCCACTTTTAAGGTGCTGTCATAGATCTGGAAGCGAATGACCTGAAATCATTTGAACCAATGCTACTGGAAAGTTACTAAGTCAGATTGGAAGGTTTTATTCATAGTTGAATTTTTCCTTTCTAAAGAGCTCTTCTATTTATACATGCCTAAATTCTCAAAAAAATAAAATGTAGAAGGATACCTGTCTGCATAAAATAAAGCTGATCATGTTTTGCTACAGTTTGCAGGTGAACAATAATAAATATGAGAAAATATGCTATTGTTTTTGTGTTTTTGCTGCAATGCCTTTACCAAAGTGGCCTTAAATATGAGCAGTGAATTGAGAACATCTTGAATTCTTGAATCGGAATACCTGAAGACTTCCTCGTGACTGACTTTTGCATAAAAAAGAACACTTTATAAAAAGGCCATGTAGACAATTCATTAAAACGACAATGACTGCTATGTTTGGGAGTATGTCCGTGGTAAAGCATTTAAATGTAGCTGGTCCGTCAAATCCACCGTACTTTTTCTCATTTCTTTGCAACGTCATGATTTTGTGAAAATTTGTATATATGAAGAATTTGCATGTATGTATATTACAATTTTTTTAAGGTATCTGGAATTCTCTGACAAAATACAAAAGGCCTATTTTAACTATTGATTTTTTAAAAAATATCATCTTTGAATGTATTGAAAAGCAGACATGACATTAACTGTGACATGATTGCACCTCAGTTTTTGTTTTGTGTTTGCTTTTCTGGGGGACAAACTGATCTTAATAAACTTTTGTTTATTTTCACTTGGTGGGGAAAAAACTGGAACGTTAAGCAGAATGGCCAGGTTCCCTTAAAGTTACAGAATGCTTTGTTTAAAGAGGTAATGATACTAATGTTTAGTCATATCTTTTTGTTATTCTTCAAAGGAACGTGTTTAATTATTTATGTACAGTGATGTCTCATTCATCCAGAGAACATCTGGCAGTCATACCACAACCAAACACAACTGAAATACTTGGGGTTTGGGGGAGAAGAAGGGCTCCGTGAGCAGCCCACCTCCATCGCTGAATCTCCCCACGGTGACCAGGCACTTGTTTTTGGACATTTTCCATCGTTTTCACCCCAAACGTCACATGTTAGCTTGAAAGGAGACTGACAGCCCTGATGGACAAACATGTTCTGTCCAGGATGGTGGAGAGCAGGAACAGCCCATCAGCTTAGAGGCGATCTCTCTGTCCCATCTGTGTCCCTCATGGTCATTGTCCACTGCCAGGGCTCTGTGTCACCCAGAAAAGAAGTTTCCTCTTCAAATGATTTACTTTAAAAAACAAACAAACCTGGAGAGAAGTGAACATCTGTGTTCTGAACTATGTGAATGCCTTTTCCAGTGTGGCCTCCCGAGTTGCTGCACTGTGCTCTGGCACTCCGTCTGTGTGGACAGAGATAAAGTGACACCGCTGCAGGCCCTGACCCACACAACCGACTGGCCTAAGAACCAAGTAAATTAAACAATTGCTGTCCAAATACTTTTCAGGACTATTTTTTTCTCTCCCAGGTTAATGTTACGTTTCCAACAAAGGGGAACCCTCTGAGGCCTGGCCCTGTTTTCAGTGAGTGCTCCTAGAACCCAATCAATGCTTGCTTTAAGAAGAGCTCCAACGTTATTTACTTCTCGTGGTGCTGTTAACTGTTAAAAACTGTCGTGGGCGTTTTAGATGGCGACTAGCTCCTGTCAAAACCTCGAACATGACAAGACTGAAGACAGACTGCACCCCCCAAGTGTCCTGGCCACTGGGGGAAGCACATCTCCTCTCCTCTTCTGCTCTGGCTCAGCACCAGGGATGGGATGCCTTTTCTTTTAACCTCTTTAATCTCATTTGCAGGCATGTTTAACTCTAATTTTGGTGACAGTAGAGATTAGCGGCTCCTTTTCTTTCTTAAAATAATTCCTTCTGTACAATTGAAGAAGCAAATCAGTACTTTATTTGTGGTCCACCCACCCCGCCTCCATCACAAACCCTGTCTAGAACAATTTCTGTAAATTGGGCAAAATGGAGGGAGTAGCTCTGCTTCCTTACCGCCATCCAAAAGTTTCTGCTCGGTTTTTCTTCCAGATCCGTAACTTAGCAATCGTGGAAGACTCCAAGAGACTTTGTGTGGGTGGCTTATGTCAATGGAAATTTACTGTTAGAAATTAATACTGAAATGTTTTTAAAATGTATTTATTCACTTAAAAACAATAAACTCATTACATGTTAACATAAATTACCTTTTTTTTTTTTTTTTTTTTAAGTGGAAAGTAGCCATTTTGGCAACAAGCGACATCCCTGTGAGGTGGGTCATCTTTGTTGACTGGCTTCCCGGCAGTGTTGGACTCACAGCCATGCCCGTAGGCAGGCAAGCTCTAGCTGCTGGGCCTGCCGCTGTGAGCTCAGGAGGAAGTGAGTAAGCACATGTCTCGCTCGCCCTAGTTGTCTCATGAAAGTCGTTCTGATGAGCACACACTTTTTATTATTTTTTAATTTTTAAATCATTGGGGGCTCTTACAACTCTTATCACAATCCATACACACATCAATTGTATAAAGCTCATTTGTACATTTGTTACCCTCGTCATTCTCAAAATATTTGTTCTCCACATAAGCCCCTGGCATCAGCTCCTCATTTCCCGCCCCCCTCCCTCATGAACCCTTGATAATTTATAAATTATTATTTTGTCATACTTACACTGTCCGAGGTCTCCCTTCACCCACTTTTCTGTTGTCTGTCCCCCAGGGAGGAGTGCTAATACAACTTATCTAAAGTTTTATTTAATTTTCATAAGCAAATTAATAGAATAATTAATGGAGCATTGATAAGGTAATTAGTGGAGTGTGTTTTAGATTAAGGACATGCCTGAAATACCAGGACTCCACTTCTCTGAAAGGCGATTTTAGCCTAGTTTGTGTGTGCCCTCTACTATTTAAAATGTTTCTTTTAAAAGAGAAGCTCTTGCTAACATTTGCATTAAATTAGCTTATTGATTTTATTAAATTATATCATGAAATGAGAATGTCATTAGTTACAGCATTAATGTTTGAATCAAAGCACCTTTGGGTGCCACAGTGAAGTGCTCAAGTACTGGCTGCAGCATGATTCAAACCATAGGCCTGGCAGCCTGCTTGGGCAGGGTCACGTCCTTGAAGTCCCCAGGGGCCAGTTCTATGGCACCATGAATCAGGGTCAACATAGCGGCAGCAGGCTCTGAGTCCATGAGTGGAAAGCCAATTGGTAGTCCCGTGTGGTGGGGGCAGTTGGTAAATGTTTTATAGCTATTTCTGCCCCGATTTGAAGTGTTTGCTGTGGTCTGATGCTCTCACCATGGTCCGTTCCGTCTACCAGTCTTACCTCGTTAAACTGTCAGTGAGAAAGGCCCTGCAGGGCAGTGGCTCTCCATGCTTTGGCAGAGCATCCCAGCCCCTCCGTCCACCTCACTGCTTGTTTTGTGCTGCTAGCCAGAGTTGGAGTATAATAGCGTTGTGTGCGTGACCGTTTTGTAGATCAGTGACGATAACATTTCGCCTCTCGGTTCGTACATTACTGGTGAGGATGTCAACCTGGTTGTGGGCTTGTTACAGGTTTTTTTGGGGGGTGGTGTGGAGTGGGCTTCATTTTTGTTGGTATTTTGTCTTTTTATGTGGAGTTAGAATGGGTAGTTGCTGAGATTCTGAACCAAGTGAGCGAAGAGGGTGGGGGTACCATGAAAGAGGCTGTAAAAATAAGCTTTCATTGATTTATTTGTAAGTTCACCTTGAAGGCCTATGCTTTTCTGATTAAACTTTAAAAACATTTTCTATGCTAATAAATTACATGCGTGTTTTAAAAATTGGTTTGTTGTACCTCTCTAGTATATTGATATTGATCAAAACTGTTAATATTGCGCCTGTTTTATTATATAATCCGGGTAGATTAGAGAACTTCATAAACACGCATATGTGTATAAGAAAGAGCTTTATATACAAGAGCAGTTGAACATTGAGAAAACAGCCCAAGCCCAGTCCAGATCAAGTCCTTAAGTCCAATATTAGCCCATATGTCCGATACCAATCTATAAAGTCC